AATCACGAGGACACAGAAAACTCCCACGATTTGCTGCCGAATTACGCGGTGGCGGGCCGCCAGCGCGGCACGCTACGTCGGAAACGATGGCGCCTGCGCGCCACCTCACGCAGTCAGCTCATGCGCGAACGTCCGCGCATGGTCGACCCCGCGTTGCTCCGTCGCCCGCCTGCAGGAACTGCAGCGTCAGGGCAACCAGCATCGGCGGGGCCTTGCCGTCGTTGATGCACTTGGCCAGGGTCTTGCACCAGGCCCTCAGCCGCTCGGTGGTCCCGGCCGGCGCCCCCCTGCTCGCGAAGGGCGTCCGCGCGAACAGCTCCCCGTAGAGGTCGCCCCCGAGCGCGTCGCGCGCGCTGCCGTGCAGCACGTCCCGGAGCTGCGCCAGCCTGCCGGGGGGGACACGAGGTGACCCTCACCGCTGCGCCACGGGCCTCTCCCTGGGCGGGCTCCGACCAGGACTCTTCGAGGGGAATCCAGCCGTGGCGGCGAGAGCTCCCAGGGCGGGCAGCGGCATCTTGAGGCACAAGCTTCGGAGCTCCGTGCGGACGGCTCGGATCGGCGCTGGAGCCCCTCCCTGGCGCGCGGAACGCGCCAGGGGCGGCGGCGGAGGCGCCGCGCCTGGGGTGCCCAGCGCCGACCCGAGAGGTCCGCGCGGAGCTCCGAAAGCGTACACTGTGTCTACGCCTTGCTCTCCTTCGTCGACTCGGGGATGGACAGACCCCCCTTTAGTAAAACGTGGTTTAGTGAAAACGACCTGAGGCCCAAACCTGGCGGGCGCAAGCCTGGAAAATAAGGGCCGCGGCGCCCTCTCGAGAACCGAAAACGGACAATTCACTAATCGACGTGTCACTATTGGGGGTTCTGTCCAGCCCCGATCGACCCTCGTGAGCCTGCGGCGCACCTTCCAGGTGCGGCGCGCGCCCCTCGCCTCCTCCAGGGAGCAGCCCAGCACGTACCAGGTGTGGCCGCGCCCCTCCTCGTGCCCCTCCACCTCCAGCAGCAGCTGCGGCGGCGGCCCGGCGTCGGACTCCCCGGGTCTCCGCCAGGTCCCTGCGTCGGTGAGGCCGAAGCCTGCGGGGCAGCGGAGGAGGAGGAGGAGGAGAAGCAGAGGAGGAGGAGGAGGAGGAGGAGGAGGAGGAGGAGGAAGCAGAGGAGGAGGAGGAGGAGGAGGAGGAGGAGGAGGAGGAGGAGGAGGAGGAGGGGGACTGGCACGGGGGAGAACATCGACCTGAAATCGGAGTTGCGTCGCCACCAGATCGGCGAATAGGCCCCCGATGGCGAAACCACACGTGCCTGGGCATGGGCGGGCCAGCGGGCCACCAATAGCGATCAATGGGCGATTAGGGGTCAACGCGCCCCACCCTGACCCTATCGCCCCCTATCTAGAGGCCTCCCAAATGGGGTTCGAGTAGATGGGGTCGGAGGATCGCGCCGCACTGGCGATGCATCGGCGATGCATCGGCGATGCATCGGCGTGGAGAGGAACGGGCTCTGCATCGAGCCGCACCAGCGACGCCTCGGCGATGCGGCACCGTCCTCCGCCCCACCCACTCCGACACCGTCTGGGAGGCCCGACTGCCGTTGCCCCTGGAAGCCGAGGTCCCCCAAGAAGGACTCGGCCGCGACCGGCGAGGCGACCGGCGAGCCCGGCGCAGGCGGCGCCCACGCGTGCGCGGGGCTGTCCGACTCCGCGCGGGGGCGCGCGGCCTGCCAGGAGAGCCCAGGATCGAGTCGAGAAGTCGGATCGGCGGTCGAAATGGATCGGATCGGCGGAAATCGGCGGCCCAAGTCGGGAAAAGTCGAGCCGGCGGAAGTCGGCAGGCTGGTAAGGCCTCCATTGAGAAATCGGAATCCAAATCGCAATCCACAGTCGAATCACATCGGAACCGGAATCGATCGAATTCGGATCGAACCGAATCGGAAGAATCGACACGAGCCCTGCCTGCCGCTTCGAGGCGGCCGCCATCACGCCAGGGGATGGGCTCCAGGGGTCACAAGGGGAGCATTCGCGCCTTGGGAGTCCCGGCCTTCAGCCGGAATTTCTACGGACGACGACGACGACGAAAACGACGACGACGAAAACGACGACGACGACGACGACGACGACGACAACGACGGTTGAGGTCCAAGGATCGATCGGTGGCTTGGAGGGTGTTGGGCGGCTCTGGGGCTCTGAAGGCCTCTGAAGCTCCAGAGGCCTCCAGAGAACGGGGACATTCCCGTCACCTGCCTCCGGATCTGGCGCTCGATGCGGTTCTGGCTTCGAGCGACTGGAGCCTCACCTCTTCTCCCCTCTTTCTCCATACCTGTCTTCCTTCTCGTTCTGCTCCCTCGCCTTCTCCTCCGCACTCCTACCCCTCCTCGTTCCTCCTCCTCCTCCTCCTCCTCCTCCTCCTCCTCCTCCTCCTCGCTCCAACTTCTGATGACCTTTCCTCCTTGGTCCTTATTCCTACGAGGCTCAAGGACCCTTTGAGACCAGCCGACTATACATGACCGTTCC